TAATCTTTTCTTTATTAAAAAAGGGGATTAGCTAATAGTTTCGGCAATCCATTTTGTTTAGTGACGAGAATACTCATAGAGGCATTTCAGTTTTCTTTGGTTACTATCGTATGATTCACCAGCGTTAGGAATCAAATTCAAGACATGTCATGTGGAATATAAGTTTGGAGTTCATCTCCAACCATTGCGTAACCCGTGATGATTAAATAAGTCTAATCTTTCGTTTTTGTCTTTGAGCCAAATGGAGGAGGAGAGGTGACATTCAACTACCAATCCCTATTTGTGCAATTGAGTTGAGAGAGAAATGTAGTTTCTCAGAACAGAAGTACGCCACGATCGTGCGTGGGAATATGTAACAGAAGAAACAAGGAGGGTAGTTTTATTTGGAAAGTGAGGGAAGATTACTATCATGCCTATAAATTAAATGATAATTATTCATTTGCACTAACTCTGTTCTTTTTTGTTGTATGGAATTCAACTCATTCACTATTTGGGAAGTGACACAGTCTCAAGATTTTAGAGAGATGAGTTAGCTCCTTACTACTAACCATATAAGAATTGTTTTAATTATCAGTGAAACCACATAATGTATGCTTATATTTTGTCTATTTATCAGTTTTTCTGATGGTATTAATCTTGTATGCTTCAACATACGACTTGGTCTCTTTCCTCTCTTCCTTTTCATTTATTTGTTTTGGTGTAAAGTTGTCGCCGTGAAACACTATAGTTGTCACTTTTTGGTCTACTAACACAGTAAACACAAGGTTTTGAATCCAATTATCACATTTGATATGAGGTTTAAGTTAGAAGCCATGAAATATGTTGGATTGTGCCGGGAGTACAAGGGGGTTAGCCATTGCAAATTGCAATGATATGACTCTCAAACGTCCGAAGGATGTGGAGCGACAACATGGTTTTATTCTTTTTTGTTTTTGTTTAATCATTTCCAAGAATTTTGGAAGAGTTTCTCGTTTATTGCCCTTTATATAGGAGAGTTGTTTCATTTTAATTTTCGTTTTGGTGTGCTACATCTCTTTTGGATCTATGTGTGAAGGGTGGAGCCATTTGATTTGTTAGATCTATTTCATGTGGTGTTCTGAAATTGTGATAGTGGTTAGGTGAAGCGATTAGACCCATGAGCATTGTCTGTCCCAATATATGATTTGAGATTTTATTCTCACATGATCTTCGTGTAACACGAGGTTTAATGATTTTATTGATATGTGTAATCTTGCGGTTCTTGATGAGTTTATACAAGTGGTTGATGTCTACCCATTGCTTTGTTATTGATGATGCTTTATTGTAATATTTTTAGATCTAGTTTATAAGGACCCTTTTGAGTCCGAGTTCTTCATGATGTATATTTGATTATGATGCCCTTTTTTCAATGAATGCAATATTATACTCTTCTTAAAAAACATACGACATTTGGTGTTGACACTTTAAAATAATCACAATTCAATGATAAATTAAATCTCACATATTAAAATTCGCACAAATGAAATCTCTCCCATTTAAATAATCCCAATTTCAATATATTGACAAAAATATGTTCTTACATGCTAATTATGTTACCAATTTTTGTGAAAGGATGTCTGGTTATTTTAGAGTTCTTCCTATTTTATGCAAATCGTAGTTTTACTCATACGTAAAAACAATTTAATAAAAACGTTAACTTTGTTTTTGTAGGTATGTAAAACTGTGATTTGCAAATAAAAAAGATGATTGAAAGAGCTGAGTATTTTCTTCACCTCATATGTAGATATGAAATCGTTCAGTGAATGAAAAAATTTCATTACATGAGAGGATGCATTTATGTGAATATAGATCCCAGAAACCCTAGAAATTAATACGATCATATCCATGATCTGCATTTTTAGCTAATTACCCTATATTTCCTGGTAATCACAAAATAATTCCAGTACGTAGTCGCATTATTTACCAACTTAAAAAGGATGTAAAATGACTCTAAAAACTACAAGTACGTACGTACGGATTTTGTACTTGCATTTGAGAGGTACAATATCAATCATAGGTTGTGCTTGGTATTCCCGATCCAATAACCAGCATCTCCAGAAACCTGTTTGCAGTAATTCTCGCATGCAATCTCACAGATGGGAATGCTTGCACCTTCCTCTTTCATGCACACTGGCATGCATGGCTTTGCACAGTCTGAGAGCGCTTCACTGCCCTTCATGCTGCAGCTGCATACCATAACAACTAGCACACAGATGACAATGGCAGGAATTTTATTGGTTTTATTGGCCATTTTGGTCTTTTTATCACTGGTTTTTTAATTGGGTTTTTGGTATGATCGGTTAGGGATTTGGTTGAGTTGGTGAAAATATTGAGTCTGCAAATAAGTAATTGGATGTGGGTTTGGTTTATATAATGGGAGGTTGCCCATGCTTAGGAAGGATCGGTGCACCACATCTTTTGGGCGGTTTGGAGAAAAACATGGTGATGAAATATGAGGTTGGGGTTAGAAAATTATGGTCATATATTTTTGGTTGGGCTAAAGAAAGATAGTTAATGTTTTTACCAAGAATCTAAAGTTCAAGTGCGTAATACTATTAACACTCCTCATTTAGCTTGTGACTCTAAATCAAAATATATAATATATATTAATTATTTGTTTGCAAATTTATTCTCCTAATCAGAATTTAATAATGCATGACTACTTATTCATAGTTTTGATATTAAAACTGAGATTAAAACATTAAAAGTATGTTTTATAAAGATTGATGTCAAATGGAATTAAGATAAGTAACAATAAAAAGTAGTCAACAATGAATTAAATATGCATTTGTGAGTGTACAATTAATAAATTAAATTTGGAGTATGGTCTAATGCTAAATGAAGTCATATATACTTCACAACTTACGAACACAATATGAGGTTTTGGATTTTTGGGTTTCGATCAACAAAATATGAGGACGGGGATTGAAATTTGGAAGTGGGCCACTCTTCTTTTTCTTTTGGTATAGTTCACTCAAAAACAAATCCAAAAATAAATCTTCTCATGGGGTCCATAGCCTAATTGCATATCGAATATCAGAAGTCAGAACATACACATGCATGCATGCAACAAGGGGAAAGATTAGGCAAAGACCTAGCATCTTGGACAGACAGTGTTCTCTCGTTGGTGACATTATAACAAAGCAAACATATATAAAATCTGCCAGACCGCTACCAAATGGATAAAAAGATAATGCATTTATTATATTGCGCCATGACTTCAAGTTTTGTTCAAAACTGGAAGATTAGGAGAATCATGAAACTCTCTCTCAATAGTGGAGAGCCAAATTGGCAAATTCTGTTGGCTGTTAAGTTGCAATGATGTGTCATGCATGAGGATCACATTCTCCAAATATACACTAGCAACTAACCAGGAAAGTTAATTTGTTTTGATTGAATCTGTGTGCCATATATATATAAATATATATATTTATATATATACCAGCAATTTACCAGGAAAGTTTGTTTTTAATTGAATCTGTGTGCTATGTATATCTGTGTGCTATATATATATAGCTCGTGAGTCACGGATCACGATTGACATGTCTTCCAATTGGTCGCATGCAATTATCAAGAACACTTCAAGCCGAACGTATATATACAGTGGCTTGCAAGGATAAATTTAATTAGAGACAGAAACAAGTTATTAATTACTCTTGAAGTTTAACACTCTTGATTAATCTGGTGGTGATCAGTAAACACCAGATAGCTTTCAGGAGGGGAAGGCGGTGTCACTGCATATATAGGAATCACGCATGCATGAGTTTCTTCTTTCTTTTTTGATTACCTTCTTCACGTATGTATAAGACCAAATCCATTCAATTTCTAAAATGAATTACTAATCCTTAACTTTTCGAGGAATATGTAAGTGTTAACTGCATAATTGATATAACAGATCAACAAAAAGTATAGATCACAAAACAGTTAAATATTAAGATACGATCAGTAACACAAGAGGAACAACCTTCTACCTTCTACAGTCTAGCTTTCGATAAGACTACGCTATGTATAGACCATGTAACTTGTGCAGACAGGGCCATTACTCCGTTATATCGATACATTACTAACTATATCCCACCTACTAGTCAAATACATAAAAGATGCCAATATTGCTCTCTTAATTATAATATAACATATGGTAATTAAATGAGATTATTAATTCCTACATATCATGGTCATAATTTATCATCTTTTGAATGACAAAAGTACCACTTCAAGTATGAAATTGACACAAAGCGGAAGTTATAGGATAAAGAAATCATGAGCGGCCAACTTTTTTGATAGCTTGGCCGTATCAAAAGCTAGAACTTAAGAAAACAAGTTTATTATTCAATTTTTAAGAGATATATAAAGAGATTGTAGAGATAAAAGCTGACTTAGGATTTTGAATATCTTACGTCTTATATCTCTCTCAATAGGAGGACAGTATATATATACACATACAAATACAAGGATGTTTGGTATATTGAATTTTTATTCGAGGAACATTGACCCATGTCAACATACATTGAATCCCTATGATACATTGACTCACGCCAACATACATCAAATCCCTATAGTACACTAATTCATACCAACATACATTAAACCCATAATTAATCTAAGCAAAAACTCACGACAACATGTAAAACTTGATGTGAAACCTGTCGTATCCTAGTTGGACATTGCTAAATAAGTCTAAGCTTAATTCACATAGAATTTCATATTAACTGATGAGGAAACATGAAAATGATGGCTATGAGCTTATTATTCTTCCTTAATTTTATCACTGAGCGATTGGTGATCTAATTTACTAGCCCCATCCAAGTGTATCAATATTTCATCCACTACACATCTCTTTCTCAAATTGGAGAAAAATAATCTGTATATTTTACAATATCCCAAACAGTAGCTAATATATTACACTTGCAATATATAAAGCTTAGTTTTGCTGTCATAAAAATACGACCCACTGCGCCATCTCTTTCACTCTCAGTATCTACTAGTTATGAACATTTATATGATGCTTTTGGAGGCTAGGTTGCTCATCAAACAATCCTTTCGCAGATGCAGGAAACTTGGCGGTACACTCCTAAAGCGTGCAATCCGGGGTCACATTGGCAGTCAGAACATGTGGTTCCGCCTTCATGAAGAGGACTACAATATACCCAAGGATGTCCCGAAAGGCCACCTTGTGGTGTATGTTGGTGAAGACCGCAAGAGATTTGTCGTCAAGGTTACCTTACTCAGCCACCCTTTGTTCCAAGAATTGCTTGATCTTGCCGAAGAAGCTTTTCATTTTGCTGCAAACTCGAAACTCTGGATTCCTTGCAACGAATACATTTTCCTCAGCGTTATTCGTTGCATCGGTTATGAACTAGATCGAGGGCTTCCTTATCTTTGATGAGGTTGCCTTTTTCTTCACAGGTTTCGCTATCTGCTTGGAGATTATTATCAATTGTATTGCTCGTAAGGCAAGCTAATCTATTCACAATCGTGTCATTTATAGGAATTAATGTTGTGTCACAGGCTCTGCAAGTGTCCACCACTAAGTCTAAACCGTCCAGATTATCGTTGTACATCTCCGATGTAAGACTTCATGCATATCATTCCTTCCTGGCTTGCACCGAACCAACTTTACACCAACAATTAAGTCATAGAAGCCATCTAATATCCAACTCGATTCAATTATTCAACTAAGCAGTCTAAAAATGACGGACTACCGTACTGGTTAACCCCAGCAAATCAGGCCAGCTAGTCCATGCTATTTTCTCTAAAAAATTAACCTTCCTTCTGGCTACAATACTAGTTAAACCCACCTCGTCCATGGACTCGGTACATCTAAGTTTTCCTAGAAGAGCTTCCACGCAACCGTGTCATGCAACGCCTTTTCCTTTCTCTCTCATCACCTAACGAGAGAAAGATATTTCATGTCACGGTTGCGGGTAAGTTGTTTGTGAGCTTTCCAAGTCACATAGCTAGTGTGCCGGCTATGACGTGATCGGCGTGGTAGAGATTCAGAGAATGCAACTTCATAGGGAAATAGCATTAGCCCTCTCTCTCGAAATTGCAAGTCCTACTCCAGCTTAATCTACTCCACGTAATGCTATAATTAGTCTTATAAATCTTCACCAAATCCCTATTAGTCATAAACATCTCAATCTTGCGATCCATAACCATCTCCTAGATGCTGCAGTAAAATCTCTTTTACATACATTCCGTGATGATGAAGCAAGTTAATTATGCCAATATTCCGACTGAAAATATACTTTTGCATGCTCTAATTTCTAATTTTACATGGGCACAGAGGCTCCTTAAGTCAAAGCATCTATCTGGAATTAGCATGTAGCCTAGTAATTAACCACAAAATCCTGCTTGAAGTAAATGACTCACATAAATCCTATCACTGTTTTTTGTATTTGACAATGCGATATCCTAGACAGCATAATACATGTCAAGGGAGATTTGAACTCGATTGCAAAAGGCGGACACACTGCTTTAAACAGCATAATACCAATTGATTACCATACTAAGTTTACACGTAATTTTCAGCATCAAGCACGTACAGGTTGAACGAAATCTTAGCATTCACTCTCAGCAACGGTTTAAGTAATATATTTATGTGTGACACTTTTTAATGTTACAAAACGTCTCGAGTTCGAATAAGAAAAACGTGATATATACACATTTACTATACTAACTGTACACTTATTTCTATCATATTCCCCTAAAAAATTCCGAGGACATCAACCAAGTTCCAAGAGAAGGCCATTAATTTAAATTAAACCGTGAAAATAGGATCAGACTGAAATATATTGTTCAAGCTTTTTTTTTTATATTAATACGGAAAATGACTTGTAAAAAACTTGCAATCGATGTCATCTTTGTTGGAATTTATTAGGTTTATTTAGGAAATTAATTAGAGATTTGATTTGATTTTGTAGTAGGGTATTTTTGGCATTTACGCATTAGGGTTTCTTAGGTTTATTGCTCTATAAATAGAGCTTGTAATTTAGTTTGAGAATAAGTCATTCACAATGTAGCCTCTAGGATTTTTGTAGACGTCTCGGCATTCTCAGTTTATTCAATAAAATTCCTATTATTTTGTTAATCTCGTTCGTTGCGCACTCTGATATTCAACTTGGTATCAGAGCAGGTTTGATCCTTAGGGATTTAATCTGCCTTTGATTCGTATCAGTTTGTTTGTTCATCTTGTTCCTTGTTAGATTGTCGTTGGTTTAGTTTGAAAAAAAAAAGAAGAGAAGGTTGAATTTGTTTGCTTGGGAGGGCCGAGGCACACCGTGCTGAACCCAGAACCCCAGTTCGAGACCACCACGAATCTGCATCTGTCTGCAACGTATCCGCACCGCTTGAATTCGCACTTGCTCGAACCGTTGCAATCATTGCAGCCAAGTTCAATGAACCTGATCACCCTGCACCGCTACATATGTATGGAACCCACCTGCTGCACCGACTTCCATCTTGAATTTACCCAAATTTGCACCACCCCATCTGTTGTTCTTGCAAACTTGCTGCAATCAATCTCTGCTGCCCCACCACTGCGCTGATGTTGCAATACCTCGCCTGCAACCCATCTGCACTCACTCCTGGATCCATCTCCGCCTCACTGACCTTATGCACCATCCCCGCGGTCCATATTCGTCCCTAACGAAGCCCAGATCCGAGAAGCACTTGGATCGAGTTCGTTTCCCCTTGAAGTCCTGTAAACCTGCATCCGTTTCTGTTCCGCACCACACACCTGCTATCTGCACCGTGAACCTAGAAGAAAAAGAAAAAAAAAGGAGAAAGAAGAAGAAAAAAATCAAAAAGAAAAGAGAAATTTTTTGCTTGTTTGTTGAGAAGTTCGTTCGAAAGTTTGCATTGGCATTGGAAATCTTGCACTGGTACTGGCATTGGAATCTTGCACTGGCACTGGCATTGGAATCTTGCACTTGCACCGATGAAATTTCATATTGAAATTGACATCGGAAATTAGCATAATGGAGCTTGCATCCACATCACTTTGGCAAACCCATGTCGTGTACCGCCATGAGTTTGACGGGGGGTGTTGAAATTTATTAGGTTTATTTAGGAAATTAATTAGAGATTTGATTTGATTTTGTAGTAGGGTATTTTTAGCATTTACGCATTAGGGTTTCTTAGGTTTATTGCTCTATAAATAGAGCTTGTAATTTAGTTTGAGAATAAGTCATTCACAATGTAGCCTCTAGGATTTTTGTAGCCGTCTCGGCATTCTCAGTTTGTTCAATAAAATTCCTATTATTTTGTTAGTCTCATTCGTTGCGCACTCTGATATTCAACTATCTTTTATCATGTGACAAAGATCACAAACAAGATTAACATCATAACAAATAAACTCCTATACCAGATACATGGGTTTAGGAGATAAAACACTGCCGGCCGCCACAGTTACATCAGCAAGAAATCCAACTCTACCATGAACGGAAACTACACGGCGCTCAACTGGTGAGAAATGAATGACCCTAATGGAAATCGGGCTTTTCTGGGTATGTGCAGCCTGACCTTTGGATGACAACGTTTGCTGCATAACAGCCAGCTTTAACACAGTCCTCAATGGGCTTCTCTTGAACCAGCTGTGACAAAAATCCCCCAACAAATGCATCTCCTGCCACAAGAAACATCATGGTATTTTTTAGTTTCAAGTAAGAAACTTAGAGCTAGCAAGATTTCTTCTATTCTTGACTCGTAATCCTGATTTCCCACTCACTCGTTTTACCAGTAATGCAACATGGAATTGCTTATAGCCTGGATCCATGGTTGACGCCGCCAAAATGGCATTGGCAAGTCATATATCATTGCTTGCTTTATATTCCGTTTTTAATAAATAACTTAAGTCTCCACCAGATCCACAGGAAAAAAAAAGGTAAGAGAATCGAATAACATTGAGGGGGTGAGATATCACATACCGGCTCCATTGGTATCAACCAGCTTCTCCTTAGGTAACAATATGACAGGAAATAGTTTCACCTTCCCATCCTCAGCAACTACAACAGGATCTGCACCTTGTGTGATCACAGTAATCCTCTTGTGCGTACCTGATGCTTTGGGCAACTGGGAAATCTTTATGGCGATCTCCTCGACATTCTCAGTCTGATTGCCAAGGGCATTATAGTTAGTGACTGGTAGAGGTTAGAAATTCTTCTGTGAAATGTGAAAGAACAAAGACTAAGCAATGTCACCTTCCAGCCATGAACCCTTGAAAAGGTTCTTGCTTCGGTCTCATTCCCAAAAACATAGTCCATGTACCTATACAAAAAGGCAATTCAGTACTCCGCATTGATCAAGAACTACAAAGAGATTTTAGTTTCATTTCTTTTCCTTTTCGGAGGAGGGACTTACGGAAGTGCTTTCTCCTGTACATCCTTGAAGAACTCACAAATGAAAGGAGCGGAAAGATTCATCGTGAATACCTGTAGATGCAAAAGAAGACAGCTGAAGCTACTAATGGATAATAAAGAGAGAATCCAACTACATTGTCAAGAAACTATATGGTTGATACCTTATTGTTTGCAGCTGCATGTTCAGCTACCAGTTGAATGGATTCAGGAGACACGGTAAGGAAAAACCCAGCAATATAGTAATATTTTGCCTTCTCAACTGGTCAAGCATGAGTTTGTATAAAGGTGAGTCAGAGAGAACATGCGACCAAAAGCAACGAAAAGATAAACTTTTGACTCAACAAGAGAGCGAGGGAAGTAATACCCAGGGCCCAATTTTCAGGTTGCTTCAAATGCTCAGTTTTGTAACAATTTGCAGCTGATAGGTTAGCAACAAGAGACCTGTACAATTTGTTGTTACAAGAAATTAATCCCCGCAAAGTTTTAATAAACAATAAGAGTAGTTGAGAAGAAAAGGAAATATACAACTTTATGCAGGGGTCCTTTTGTTCCAACAATTTATGACAGATACGAGGATCGCTATGGGAGCAATGAAAATGAAATCAAAATGCATGATACAGGGTATTTTCAGAAGTAAAAGAAGAAATGCCTAGGAAATTTGCTTTATAGAACCATAAATTGGCAGACGACAATTTCAAATTCAGCTTCTAGAGGAGATGTAAAACTGACCTTTCACCACCAACTACACAAACAGCACATGTTCCTGTTGGAGCTTTGTCATCTTCATAATATTGCACCTGAACCCAAATGTAAATAAATACTTCTTGACTCAAAAGAATCAGAATAGCTGAGGGATAAGAAATTTTTCTTATCCTTTCCGATGTAAAGATGTAAAGAAACTCACATTAACACCAGCAAGTCTACAATTTTTCTTCATCTCCTCACCATACTTGTCCTTTCCGATAGATCCAATGTAACTAGTTGCGCCAGGAACTTGAAGCATCCACTATTGAAAAACAACACACAGATTAAGAAATTTCTGTCAGCATAATACAATTGAATCAGATCTTCATAAAATAAATAATAATAAAAAGTTCAGTTAAAAACATAAACAAACCTGGGCAACTTTGATTGAATTTTGAGTAGCACCTGAAAATAACACAATGAACATAAGGAAAATTAGTCACTGGATTGCAAAGGACAGAAAAATTAGGCATCGCCATTAGTAAAGTTTCTAGACGAGATCATAAAGCATGGGATCACCAAATACCGAAGTGAACTACTTATCAAATTACCTCCAGCAATATACTCTACATTGTAGTTGGAAGACATTTCGTCGTACCTGTGAAAAAACCATCCAAAAAACATTGAATCAGCAAATGCAATATTTCAGGTAGTTGCAAATGCTGGAAACTAATCATGAACTTATATTTGAAATATATCCTCTCAAAACTTAAAAACAAGTAACTAAGAGATCGAAAAACTCAACTTAAGTTCTTACAACTTACACCTTTTGCCAGCAAGGAACAATAGTTGCTAATAAGAAATCAAGCAACCAACGATAATAACAAAAATGAATTACATGGGCAGATGCTTGTCCTCAGCAAGAATGGCATTGTTCGGCTTGATGTCATATCTATCAAAAAAGCCGCTCAAGTTAGTTTATACGATATAATGCATCGATTGAAAAAGGAAAAAAAAAATTCTACCAACATGCAGAAACACTTAAATACTAATAAAATCACACAATCAAACCAAACACGAACAGGAAGTGAATCTTACAACAGGAAAGGAAAAGGAAATAAGCATGCAAATGCCTACTCGTAGAGAGTAAAATTATTCGGTCCACTGAACTTGACTTCTTTTCTTTCTTTTCTGGTTTATTTGGATGGCAAGAAAGAATCTTGTATAATTCAATCAAGTAAGCAACTATATTTTCATTTTCTATATCAAAGCAGATCCAACTGAAACAGTCACATATGATATTACCACCAAAAACTCAACCAATGCTCATCTGGGTATCTAACATAATCCGGAAAATCAACCATGGTATTGGATTAATTCCAGAAAACAATCGAGAAAGCAACTAAACCTGCAGATCTATTTACTTTATCACTTTCCTCTGTTTCTTAAATTAATCACAAAAGCTTTCAGTCTTTCAAATCTATCGCAAAAACCCATTAAATTTAAACAGAAAGAAATCGAAATCTAAAATCAACAGATCGCATTCATTAGTTTTCCAACAATTCTGAGCATCCAAACAGTAAGAGAAGATGGGAAACTGTAATGAAAGAAGCTGAGATGGGGGCTTACTTTGTCAAGAATTCTTCGTCGACGACGGCAGATATGTCGAGAAGAGGATTGCCCATCCCCAAGAGGATCTGCTCGAGTGCCATTGATGAAAATTGCGCGGAGTTCTGAGTTGTATTACGAAATTACGAGAGAAGGAGGGAGGGAGATAGGGCTCAGTACAAAGTGAGCCAGACTGCGAACCAAGTATTTATAGTAATAACTTAATGCAGACGTGGGAATTTGGAGGTGAGACGTCACATATGTCATATTTATATTTTTTTATTATCATTACGATTATTTCGCTTTAATTATTTTTTGTTGCTCACCAACCCACTCAGAATTTCACAAATTGATTTTTTTTTATTTGTAGGTTCTTCATAGGGGGGATTTCATAATTTAGTACTTCAAAATAATCATAACTACGTTCAGGACTAATTTTGAAATATTGGGAGTTCAGTACCAAAAATTAAACTAATTAATTGTAGGTGTTTGTATTTTTAAATTTTCAATTTTTACATCTGAACAATTGAGGATTTTGTGTGGTGACACAACCTGCGCAACCACACTGCATTTCGTGGTAAAAAAAAACATTTAGAGAGGTGTATTCAATTGAGATTCTGATTGAGATTCTGAAAGAGTTTCGGGGAATTAATAATTTTAGGGGTATTTAATTATGAATTTAAAAGACTTCATAAAGTTTAGGTGTATTCAATTGAGAATTATAAACACTTTTTAAAAGTCTTTAGAAATATGGGTGTATTCAATTGTGATTTTTTCAAAGTCTTTAAAAATTTAGGTGTATTGGAAAACGAATTGAATTTGAAGGAATTTGTGAATTGGTGGATTTGAAGGTGAGGCCTATAAATACCAAAGAGTTTGAGAAATCTTACCTCATCCCTAAAAATTTTGAGCGACTTTGTATGCTGCTCTCCTCTCCAGAAGCGGCGCATTCTGCTCCAAAAACAAAGTAGCTTGAAGGTAAAACTTTTCACCTTGCACATGTTTTCTACATATTTTTCTTGTCTGAATATTGTAATCTTGTTCTAGGGTTAGGGTTTTCTAGTCTAGGATTTATCAGGATTTGAACCCCATTGTTGAATACGCGTGTGGGTTTATATATGGTTTGGTGTTTTGTTGAAATATTTTCTGCTTTTGATTGTCAAAAAGATCAACTGGAATCCACAAAGATGGTTTTGGGGTCCATAGAAATTTTGAATTTTGAATGAAAACTTCTTGTTGGATATCGAATTGATGTTTTCTTTTAATTTGATGTTGAATTGGCGTCAAAGAGGTTTTTCGTGCTTTAAGGGTCGAATTTGAATGAAAACTTGCTGTTGGATATCGAATTGCGTGCTTGTGGACATGAACCATGGATAAAATATTCCACCTTGCTTGTGAAGCAGCTATGCAAACATGAAAAGGTAGCTGATGGTTTAAGAAGGTTTTCTCCCTGATATAGTTGCCTGTTCTACGGCTATAAATGGATTGGTCAAAATTCAAGAAGTAGATCGAGCTCTGTAGCTGTTCGAAGAAATTGGTTGCTTAATGCTGGAAGGGTCGATGATGCTCTTGTGCTTTGGAACAATATATTTTGCTGCGTATTCATGTGTTATGATTAGATCTTTTGCCTTATGGGACAAACCAATTTTACCAATTAATTTGGTTTTTCTTGAAATAAAATAATCACTGTAATTTCATGGGAATTCAAACAAATATCTTGAAATTCATGAATAAACTCTCTGAAATTCTCTAAGTCCATGCAAAGAATTCTCTCACAATTAATGTGAATTCTTGGAAACTTCAACTCAAAATCCATGGAAAGTGATTTTTTTCTTTCTCTCAAATTCTCTCAAATTCCATGGAATTAGATTCTTTGAGAACTTTAACGAAAAACTCCTGGTACTATTTACTTTAACAAAAAAATCACATTTTTACACTAAAAAGTCAATCTTAATACTATTCACTTTACCCTTTATTTTGTCCTTATCGTTAAAACTCAAAGTTTTTAAGCCATTTTCATTAATTTTCTTCTTATTTTTGGGAGGGGGGGACACTATTAAGGATGTTCATAACTTTCGTAAACACATGCGTAGATATAACAATAGAGGTTGGGGAATTTAAACTCAAAACATCTTCTAATTGTAAGAAAAAAATTACAGACCAATACCAATTAACAGAAAGCACAAATATTTGCAAAAGTAATGCCCCTCACCACATAAAAGCCTTTTACATTTCTCTTGCATGTTACAGGCAAAAAACATATACCAAAAAGAAACAAATTATTTGTCAAATGTCACCTACTTCCAAAACTATTGATGATTTGTGGCCATTCTTCTTGAATGAGACATTTTGCCTAACCTTTTGCCTTAACCTTCACCTACCATTACCAAAGAGTTTTTAAGATTTACCACAAGAAATGTCAATTTTCCAATTTTTTTTTATTTGATTATATTCAAATCGCGAAAATTTTAAAATGAACCGGTCAAAGGATATCAAACTCTCTGGTCAGACTTGAACAATAAAAAAGGGAAAAGGATCCCCGTCGGATTCTTTTTTCTGGGGATCCTAGGGAACCAGTAATCGGGATTGTCTATCGTAAATCGTGTGGTCAAAAATCATTTTAAAATTTAAAATTTAAAATTTAAAATTTAAAATTAAATATAAATAGTACCTAACGAAAACTAATCACACGATGTACGATGAACGGTCGAGTTTTCCATAAAAAAGTAGGTAGGCTCATCAATTTCACAGCTTTATTTTCTCCACATGGATTTTTATAAGAGAGACATGGAGTATGGGTTTTTGAATTTTGGTTTAATTAAAGCTACTTTGTTTCACGAACTAAAAATTCGTAAGTATTGGTCTCTGAACTTGCTACAACGTAAAATGATAGTCTTTTGAGTAACTCCGTTAAAACTTTCGTCTAAAATAAGAGATTTTAAAGGCAAATACGGGACAAAAGTACATAAACTGATGGATGCATCTAAACATGTGTTTTTTTTATGCCATCTCTGCTTATTGACTCTCTATCGGTCTAATCCAGATTCCAGATAGAGATAAACAGATGGGTTGATGCATCTATGCATGTTTTTGTTTTGACGATTCTGCATATGTATAGATATATAAATTTCGAATGCTTGTATATGCCCTTCTAAACGTGTATGATTTCCTGCAGGCTGGAGCCGGTTGCATATAGACTACAGGTCCGCAACATCCTTTATTCGCAACTTCGAAGCCTGCAGGAATTCATCGATACAAAGTTAGAAACAACATTTTTATAAACTTTCTAATCAATCAAATAATCATGAAATAAACAAGCTAAAGTTTTTCTGTAATAATTTCAGTATTCAAAGTTTTGAAGGTAGGATGTTGTCATTGTTGTGGGACTGGACAACTGAAACGGTGGTGATATTATGTAATTAAACCAGCTGAGTCCGTTCATATGAGCAAAAGCATCTAAATATTTGTATTCGGACTCGAATCATCCCACAAAAAGAGCTCTCAGAATCATCGCTTCTGAGATTATCCAAAACTGCGTGGATACAGAGTTTCTTTTGATGCTACGTACCTTTTAAAAAAATTAATAAAAATGGTTGGAAAATTTTGAGTTTTAATTAAAAGAATAAAAATGCATTGTAAGTGAATAGTACTATATGTGATTTTTTAGAGTGAAAATATTATTTCTCGTTAAAGTAAACAATATGAGGAATGTTTCGTTAAAATTTTTTTTTTTTCTCTTTTCTAAAAAACAGTCCAAACCCAAACGACGACGTTTTGAATAGGTAAAACTCAGACTCGTTTGCCTTCTTCTCACTTCAGTCACTTCGCACTGGGCACAAAAAACAGAGCAGCGCTGCACGCAGACCGGCACCACCGTCGTCCTCTTCGGTCTCTCTTCCCACCTTCAGCGACGTCCCTTGTCTCTTCTCCGACCTTTAGCGACATCCCTCTTCGGTTTCTTCTCACAACAAATTTGTAAATTTAAGGTTAGGATTTCTCACCTACATTGAAGAAATTTCATCACCAGCATCAACGTATACTTGTTAATTAAAGAGTGAGATAGGAGAGAGGAGACCAGCATCGTATGCCTTCCTCAATTTTTTGATTTAATTCAATTTTTGGGCCACTTCACAGGGAAAGATCTATTAGGTTCATCAGTTTATGTGCTTATTCTGTCATTAATTCATAGATTTATTTTATATAAGTATTTACTTTTCAACTGTGGCTAGCATGTTCTGATAATCTGCCTCATTTTGTTTCTGGTTTGCATGCTACAAATTTCCGATAATCTGTTGTGTTTGTACTTAATTGTTTGGTATGCTTGCTTGATTGTTTAGGATCTTTAGGCAGAAGATATTAAAGCTGAAGAATGAGTACTAGTGCTAGTAAGAAAGATTTTGCTTGGCAATGGACAAAAGATGTTGATCCGGTGTCCAGATATTTCTATTGTGTGTATTGTAATCAGAAATGCACGGGCTCAATTACTAGATTCAAACATCACTTGGGTGGCATAAGTTCGGGAGGAATGGCTATTTGTAAAAAAGTCCCACCAAATGTCAAGGCACAATGCATTGCTAATATTAAAGGAATTAAACAAAGAAAGAAAGTTAGTAATGAATTGTGTTGTGGTGTCGAAGAAGAAAGTGAGAGTGTGGACATGGAAGTGAACACAACGGCATACTATGGAAATAGCTCTCGAGGGAGTGGGAGCGGGAGCGAGAGTGTTCCAGCTTCACAACACGGTTCAACTCTACCACCAAGGTCAAAGGGAGATAGGTATGTTTCTTTAGAAGCTCACCAAGCCACATTGAATACACCTTTCAAAAAAGAGGAAAGGAAACAAGTGTGCCGAAAACTTGCGCAATGGTTTTACACTAGTGCCATTCCATTCAATGCGGCAAACTCAGATTATTATTTTCAAGCAATGAAAGCGGTCTCCGACTTTGGTCCCGGTTTTGAAGCTCCTACAAGCCATGAGTATAGGACTTGGATGCTCAAAGAAGAAGTTGATGATGTACAGAGAAAGATGCAAGATCATGTAAAAGCTTGGAAGAGATATGGATGCACCATTATGATGGATGGATTGTCAGATGGTAAAAGTATGTGTCTAATTAACTTTCTTATCAATAGCCCTCGAGGTACATGGTTTTTGAAATCGGTTGATGCATCAGCCTCCATTAAAAATGGAGATTTGTTATATGGCTACTTGGATGATGTTATACAAGAAATTGGGGAGGAGAATGTAGTTCAAGTCATATCCAATAATGCTTCCAACTACAAGAATGTGGGGGCAAAACTTATGGAGAGAAAAGAGAAGTTGTGGTGGACTCAATGTGCGGCTCACTGCATTGATTTGATGCTAAAGGATATTGCTAAGATGAAATGTTTTGATGACACACTTGAACATGCTAAGTGTATAACGAAGTATCTTTATGGGCATCAATGGGTACTCGCTTTGATGAGAAAGTTCACCAACAATACGGAAATTCTTCGTCCAGCAGTCACTAGGTTTGCCACTTCTTTTCTTACACTTCAAATCTTACAAAAGCAAAAGGAGAATCTTGTTGCTTTGTTTTCCTCCCAAGAATGGTCTGAAAGTACCTATGCAAAATCCCGTGAAGCAAAGTTGGCTAAGTATTATGTGATACATGATCATGAGTTTTGGGGTAGAGTTTCCTTTTGCGTTAGAGGTGTTCTTCCACTTGTTTGTGTCTTGAGAGAGGTTGACTCGGAAGAGAGACCTGTCATGGGATTTATATATGAGTTGATAGATGTCGTAAAAGAGAAAATTGCTAACAATCTTAACAAAGTGGAGAAAAAGTATATGCCAATTTGGAAAAAGATAGATTATAGATGGAACGATCAACTTCACCAACCATTATATGCGGCAGGCTATTACTTGAATCCACAATTTCGGTATGAAGATAATTTCTCAAATACTGAAGAAATAAGAAAAGGGTTGTTTGCTTGCATGGATAGGATGCTTGGAAATTCCAAAGAACGTGAAGATGCGGATATCCAATTGGACTCATATGATCGTAGACTTGGTAATTTTGCGGATCCTTTGGCAATGAAAACTAGGAAAAGGCGAACACCTTGTAAGAACTAAGAAGTCAATTCTTAACATATTATTATGTTAGCCTTTAAATTAAAGTTCAAAGTTTAAACTTACCTGATTAATATGGTTTGTTAACTTTGGTTTCTTTTAGTGGGTTGGTGGCAGCGTTTTGGGTATCGAACACCTGAGTTGATGATGTTTGCCATACGTGTTCTTGGCCTTACTTGTAGTTCATCGGGATGTGAGAGGAATTGGAGCACATTCCAAATGGTACATAAATAATTATTATTTTTTTTTTATATGTCATGTTGCTTAAGAGGATTAGACTTGAACAAATGAAATGAATGATTAAATTCTTAAATTTTTTTTGTAGATTCATAAAAAAAAGAGGAATAGACTTGAACACAAAAGGCTAAATGCTTTAGCATATGTGAAGTATAATTTGGCTTTAAGCGAGCGAAGTCTTAAAAGAAGTGGGAGGTGTGATCCGATTGTTGTAGAAGAAATTGACTCGGATGATGAATGGATAACGGAACGAGAAGATCCCGTTCTTCCCCAAGATCCTAGATGGCTTGAAGATGAGTCATTGTTCAATGCGGAGGCCGTAAGGAATGTGCCAATCCCCATTTATGAAGATAACTCACAAGTTGGAGACCCTAGAGAGCCTTCTCCTCCTCCTCCTCGTGAGCCTACTCTGTGAACTTACTCCGCCCCATGAGCCAACTCAACCTCGAGTTCTTATTACCTACAAAAGAAAACGCATTAATGAGGAAACCTCGAGTCGAAGAAACAAAATTTTGAAGGATAAGTCAGAAGATTCTTTTGAAGACTATTTGACACAACGTTCAAGTTCAACTAGACTTGGCAATGAAGAAGATGATATTACCTTTGATTTGGATGAAGAGGATTTGAGTGAATAATTTCTTTGTTCGTATTTTTCTGAGTTAAACTTGTCTGTGACTTCTGCACTTTTGAATGGCTATAGATATTTTGTTTTGCAAAGTTTTATACTTTATATAATCATATAATATAATTTTAGATACCGTGAGGTGGCCTCGAGGCCATTCATAAAACGCATTGCCTTCTCCTTTGCCTTTTAAAACGTTGATTTGTACCTAGATGGATGGATATAGACTACAGTATTAGCAGTTTAGTACTGTAACTATATCTGGATCCACATTATTTAGTAACTATATTTCGTTATCTGTTTTCGAAACTTTAATTATATATGTAGTGGAAGGCGGGGAATCAAGGAACTTTTAGCAGCATATCTTGACCCAAACCTGCAGAGAGAAGATATTCCAACTGGTGGCTCCTTTGCTTCAGGTGGCTCCGGTTGTGCTCCTCTAACACCAACAGTCTTTCTATTTTTCAGCAAGCAGCAAGAGGTCCTATCCGAGCTTTATCCGAAATTTTCAGTATGATTTTCCTTCATATGCTGCTCTTCTGGTCAGATCGGCTACTACATTTGTCAAAGTAAATCTAATCAAATGAAGTAACACACTTTGATTTTTATACATAAGTTTTGAAGTTATATTTTGAAGGATCTATATAGCCTCGGAACTACGAGATTTGGCTTTTTCAGCGCCGTAGCGATTGGTTGCACTCCATTGGAAAGAAGTTCAACAGGGTTACTGGGAGAGTGTTTCAAGCTGCAAAACCAAAGAGCAGAGTTGTTCAATTCTATGCTGTCAACTGAACTAGATTACATCAACGCCAACTTTACAGATGCCAAGCTAGTCTTTTTGGATATCTAGCACCATTCTCTTGACCTCAATCAACGCCCTTAGAATTCAGGTAGTCATTTACTTAGAGGCCGTTTAATAATCATTTCATGTTCAGTTTTTAGTTTCCGTTGTTTTGTTTGCTTATTGCTATATAACTTTAGGATTCGAAGTTACGAAGATTGGCTGTTGTGGTACTGGAACAACAGAAGTGGGGATATTCTGTAACAAAAAAGTCAGTCCGTTGACATGTACAGACGCATCTAAATCTGTCTACTGGTGCTCGTTCACTTCACGGAAAGAGCTTGTAGAGTCATTTCTTCTCGGATTCTTCGAAGCCACATAAACAGTTTCTTTTGAGGCTACCACTCTATTGGTTTAATTCGTATGTGTTAATTTCTTAATACCGACATATGTGAATACTTCAAGAAGCTATACATGTAGAATTTCTTGTTGCTCTTCTTCTATAATCTGTTTGATTTCCATGTTGCATATATAAAAAAGAACAAATTCATCATAAATACTAATTGCAAAATATAAACTCAGTAACATGCGATGAGCTGCTGAATTCGAAATTTTAAATGGTACTAACTATAAGACCTCCTGCATGAGTAGCTGTCCCGAAAAACTCAGCCATCCCCGCAGCGCAGCTGCCTGCAGGCTGGAGCTGGTTGCAGAGTTTTGTTACTTCAAATGATCCCAGTACCACGACACCCTTTATTTGCAACGTCGAAGCCCTGCAGGAATTCATCAAAGCAACGATGTACCGTATTGAGCGGTGTTTATGACGACATCAAGTAGTGAATCCGGCTAGTTTGCTTAAAGAAAATTAATGCTTGGATTGTCAAGTTTCAACTTAGCCGGTCTGGGGATGATGTTGAAATCGAGCTCTTTTTACAAAATCAAACGATGTAAAGAGATGAAGGATTCAAATGTGAACCCTCGGAGAATGTAGCGGTAACGACTCTTAACCATTGTAATTACAATCCAGTGATACTTATTTCAAGGTTTGCGAGATGTGTGTGTGTCTACGAGAGAGATCACTTGTTAAACAAAAAAAGACACCTTTTGTGACTTTAGATTATTAAAGATTTTTGTTGATCTGCATAAGATCCACTACAATGCAGATAACATTTAGGCAATAAAACGAGGTTCTCTATTCTCTCTTGCCGCCGCACCCTCTCTCTCCCCCTCTATAATTTTTTATTTAAATAGGCTTACAACAATTAGATAGTATTTTTGATAAAGTGATATATTTACACCAAGGGAGAGAAAATAAAGCGGTTACGAATTTGTTATTTTTCGAATAAAACTTAAGACCTCTTAAGACCTTTGAGGGCTTGCTTGAGTTTTAATTACACATTGGAGAATGATTTCAATAAGTTAGTAGGTTGGTCTTGGTACATGACTTGTAAGCCTCAAATACGTATTTTGTTCATATTCTTGTAGTATTTTCAAAATATTTATACGATTCGATCAATGAACGGATGGGCTTGTTTCATATTTGGGCATCTTGCCTTGCATCCCAAGGTATCGTTGACATGGCAAATAACAGAAAACCAACTAACTCTAACTGTATTATTATCTTAACCGACCTCTCCCAATCCTAATTACCAAAACCACCTCGCAACAGAATGTTGATGATTCTGCAAATTAACAAAATCTAGGGGCAAAAATCAAAACTTACATATAATTTTCCTCCCACCAATTGGAGTTGAAAATTACCAAAATAACCTCATCTTCTTACCATTTTTTATTATATAAGTAAATAAAAGCAGAGCAGTACAGAGTCACAGAGAGTCTCATGCATCGTCGTCTTCCTCCCAAAGCATCAACCTTTCGCAAGAATTAGTTCTGCAGAAACCCTACATTCATCTTGTCCATCAACACCCATTTCCCAGAAATCCAAACAACCCACTTCCATTCTTCAAGATTTCATCTTTGCCGTCTCCAATGGCGACTTCTTCGTCTTCTCCCTCCCACCAAGATGACCCACAAAAGGTCCAATTCCCGTTGGACTCCGCCTCGTACCAAAACCTCCAAGAAATCGGCTCTGGTGACAAGGTCGTCGTCTACAAGGCCGTCTGCGTCCCCATGAACTCTGCAATCGTCGCAATCAAGTCCGTCGACCTCAATCAATCCACGGCCGATTTCGAGAGTAAGCTACGCGACACCAAGAATCTGTCTCTTTCCCACCCCAACATTCTCGGCGACCATTGCTCCTTCACCACCGTCGACCTCGCCACCGCCGAGCGCCGTCTCTGGGTGGTCATGCCCTTCATGACCTTCGGCTCTCTGCAATCCGTAATAATCGCCCCCTCTGCTTTCCCGGAAGGATTACCAGAGCCCAGCATTGCAGTCGTCCTGAAAGAGACGCTAAACGCCCTGTCGTATCTCCATGGCCACGGACGCTTCCACGGCGACATCAAGCCCGGAAACATCTTGGTTGACGCTGATGGGTCCGTTAAGCTCTCAGATTTCGGGGTCTCTGCTTCTTTCTACGACGCCGATTTTTCAACTGGGGCAAACGACACTTCTACAAGGCCGTACTGGGTGGCGCCCGGGGGAGGTGGATACAAGGCGGATATCTGGGCATTTGGGATCACGGCGCTGGAATTGGCTCTGGGCGGCCCTCCCCTGTCTGGCTTGCCGCTGTTATCGGGGAATCAAATTCTGAAGATCAAGAACAGGTTTCGGCTTGCGGATTACGAAAACATCATCAAAGATTTCCGGAACCAGAAATACTCTGCGGCTTTCAAGGACTTGGTGGGTTCTTGCCTTGATCGGGACCCGGAGAAGAGGCCGGCGGCAGAGGCGCTGTTGAAGCACCCGTTTTTCCACGACTGCGGGGGCAAGGATTTTCTGGTGGGGACCGTGCTTCCGCATTTGGAGAGCGTCGAGGAGAGATTCAAGAAAAGAAATAGGGGTTTGGGTGACTTGTTGGGCAAGGTAGACTATGGAGAACTAAAGGGTGAGGATATGGGGTTTAGCGGATGGAATTTCAACGTGGACGACTTTGTTTTCAACCCGGCTTTTTTAGCTGGGCCGTCTTCTACTTCCAGCTCTAGGTTTTATGGCAGCGGCAAAGCCCGGCTGTCAAATATTGTAACGAGGTTGGCAAAGCAATTACAGACTGTGAAGATGACTATTGGTCGGTTAAAGGTAGTAGTTGGGGTGAGGATGCTGAATAATGCAGAGATTTGGATGCTGATGAATGCGCTGGACAAAGAGAAGGAAGATATTATGCAGTTGCAGATTAAGTTGAGGGAGTTTGTTTTGGACCCGATTTATCCGGCTTGGTGGTCTTCTCCTCCCAGCCCTCCAGCTGAGTCTTCTGACGGCGGCAAAGCTGGGCTGGTGGTATTGCTTGTGGAATTGCTGGTGGAATTGGTGGGACTTGCAAGAAATTTGGAAAAGCAGATGGAGAGTGTGATGACAATTATTGGTCTGTCGGGAGGAGCAGGGGAGGTTGAGAAGCTGAAGAGTGAGTTGAAGTCTGAGTACCAAACATGTATGCTGTTTCAGGTAGCGTTGAAGCTGATCAAGTTTAAGTTGGATTATTAAGACCTCTCCAGGAAATTGCATTTGCAGAGAGTTTGCTTTTTGAAAAAATTGGTCAACTTTTTGGATGCTTTTTTCATGGCTTAGGAGAGAGAAATGAGTTTTAGAGCATTCGTTTTCATGTATGAGATATGCTATAAAGTGTTTAGATTCTGATTACATCATTTGGAATTTGTCATTTGTAAAAGGAAGCAAAGAATTAATGATCATCCGATGTTGGATTCATAGTTACTATAATTTTTTCCCCATATCTCTTTTGCTAACATTGAGAGAGAGAGAGATAGCTGATACAAATTTTATCGCTTCGGAGGGGGTGGGTGGGCGTAGCTTAACTAGTTAAGAGCATTTTCCTCTAGACTAAGATCACTGAAACTTCAGTCATATATAGTTCTCCTTCTCACTGCAAAACTGAAGGGGACCGTTGAAGAAAAGAGAACAAGAAAAATTATAGCCAACAGTCTATTTCTAGTTTCAGCAAGCAGCAGTCCCGCGCAATTAGAACGCTTCAAATAGTACACAGCGAAACTGAAAGGGACTGTTGAAGAAAAGAGAACAAGAAAAATTATAGCCAATGGTCTATTTCTAGTTTCAGCAAGCGGCAGTGACATTTTGAGGTCCTATCCGAGCTTTATCCGGAAATTTCAGTATGATTTTCCTTCATATGCTGCTCTTCTGGTCAGATCGGCTGCTACATTTGTCAAAGTAAACTTAATCAAATGAGATATTATCAGTACTATAGTGTGACACACACTCTGATTTTTATACATAAGTTTTGAAGTTGTATTTTGCAGGATCTATACAGCCTCGGAGCTAGGAGAATTGGTGTTTTCAGTGCTGTAGCGATTGGTTGCACTCCAATGGAAATAAGTTCAACTGAGTTACTGAGAGAGTGTTTGAAGCTGCAAAACAAAAGCGCGGAGTTGTTCAATTCTTTGCTGTCAAATGAACTAGATTACATCAACTCCAAGCTAGTCTTATATAAAAAAAGAACAAGTTCTGCGAAATATGAACTCAGTAACATGCGATGAGCTGCTGAATCCGAAACTTTATATTGAACCAACTACAAGACCTACCACATGAGTAGCTTTCCCTTAAAACTTAGCCTTCCCCGCAGCGTAGGTGCCTGCAGGCTGGAGCAGGTTGCAGAGTTCTGTTACTTCAAATAATTCCAATATCGTGACACGCTCTGTTCGCAACTTTGAAGCCCTGCAGGAATTCATCAAAGCAACGTTGTACCGTACTGAGCGGTGTTTATGACGACACCAAGTAGTGAATTGTAGATGTCAATACACGGTACACCAGTTTTGAACCGGCTAGTTTGCTTAATGAAAATGAATTCTTGGATTGTCAAAGTTTAAACTTAGCTGGTTTGGGAATAAAGTTGAAATCAAGCTCTTTCTACAAAATCAAATGATGTCAAGAGAAGAAAGATTCAAACATGAACACTCGACGAATGTAGGGGTGACGACTCT